ATGCTTCAGTGTTGCTTGCCTCGAAGTGAGCATAGAAGTAATTTAGCTCGTCTGGTAGGCTTGTGTCACTGGGCAGCTCGCGGCTGTGCTTCAAATCAAATCAAATTTGATCTGTCACATACATGTGTTTAGCAGATGTTATTGCGGGTGTAGCGAAATGCTTGTGCTTCTAGCTCCGACAGTGCAGTAATATCTAACAAGTAATATCTAACAATTTCACAACATATACCCAATACACACAAATCTAAGTAAGGAATGGAATTTAAGAATATATACATATATGGACAAGCAATGACAGAGTGGCATGGACTAAGATACAGTAGAATATTATAGAATACAGTATATACAGTTGAAGTCGGAAGTTTACATACACCTTAGCCAAATACAATTAAACTCATTTTTACACAATTCCTGTCATTTAATCCTAGTAAAAAAGTCCCTGTCTTAGGTCAGTTAGGATCACCACTTTATTTTAAGAATGTGAAATGTCAGAATAATAGTAGAGATAATTATTTATTTCAGCTTTGATTTATTTCATCACATTCCCAGTTGGTCAGAAGTTTACATACACTCAATTAGTATTTAGTAGCATTGCCTTTAAATTGTTTAACTTGGGTCAAACATTTCGGGTAGCCTTCCACAAGCTTCCCACAATAAGTTGGGTGAATTTTGGCCCATTCCTCCAGACAGAGCTGGTGTAACTGAGTCAGGTTTGTAGGCCTCCTTGCTCGCACACGCTTTTTCAGTTCTGCCCACAGATTTTCTATAGGATTGAGGTCATGGCTTTGTGATGGCCACTCCAATACCTTGACTTTGTTGTCCTTAAGCCATTTTGACACAACTTTGGAAGTATGCTTGGGGTCATTGTCCATTTGGAAGACCCATTTGCGACCAAGCTTTAACTTCTTGACTGATGTCTTGAGATGTTGCTTCAATATATCCACATAATTTTCCTTCGTCATGATGCCATCTATTTTGTGAAGTGCACCAGTCCCTCCTGCAGCAAAGCACCCCCACAGCATGATGCTGCCACCCCCATGCTTCACGGTTGGGATGGTGTTCTTCGGCTTGCAAGTGTCCCCCTTTTTCCTCCAAACATAACGATGGTCATTATGGCCAAACAGTTCTACTTTTGTTTCATCAGATCAGAGCACATTTCTCCAAAAAGTACGATCTTTGTCCCCATTTGCAGTTGCAAACCATAGTCTGGTTTTTTATGGCGGTTTTGGAGCAGTGGCTTCTTCCTTGCTTATATGATGAGGATATGAGGCCATTTCATATGAGTGTGTGTAACTATGTTAAAGTTAGTATGGATGAGTGAGTATTGGTGACTCTAAGTCTGGGGTAGTAAATTCCAATATGTCCAAGGATGATAGTGGGGTTTATATTAGAATGATGTACGGAACATATTCCAGTCTGTGCTAGCAAAACAGTCCTGTAGCTTAGCATCTGCATCATTTGAACACTTCTTTATTGACCGAGTCACTGGTGCTTCCTGCTTTAGTTTTTGCTTGTAAGCAGGAATCAGGAGGATATAATTATGGTCAGATTTTCCAAAAGGAGGGCGAAGGAGAGCTTTGTACGTGTCTCTGTGTGTGGAGTAAAGGTGGTCAAGACTTTTTTCCCTATTGTTGCACATTTAACATGCTGGTAGAAATGAAGTAAAACAGATTTAAATGTCCCTGTATTAAAGTCCCCTGCCACTAGGAGCGCCGCTCTGGCTGAGCATTTTCCTGTTTGCTTATGGCCTTATACAGCTCATTGAGTGCGGTCTTAGTGCCAGCATCCGTTTGTGGTGGTAAATAGACAGCTACAAAAAATATAGATGAAAATGATCTTGGTAAATAGTGTGGTCTACAGCTTATCATGAGATACTCTACCTCAGGCAAGCAAAACCTCGAGACTTCCTTAATATTAGATTTCGTTCACCAGCTGTTATTTATAAAATTACACAGACCGCCAACCCCTTGTCTTACCGGAGGCCGCTGTTCTATCTTGCCGATGCAGCATAAACCCCGCCAGCTGTATGTTATCTATGTCGCCGTTCAGCCACGACTCGGTGAAACATAAGATTTTACAGTTTTTTATGTCCCGTTGGTAGGATATTCGTGATCGTAGCTTGTCTATTTTGTTATCCAATGATTGTATGTTGGCTAATAGACTGATGGTAGAGGCAGATTTCCCACTCGCCGTCAGATCCTTACAAGGCACCCCGACCTACAACCCCGATATCTCTGTCTCTTTCTCCTGCGAATGACGGGGATTTGGGGCTTGACGGGTGTCTGAAGTAAATCCTTCGCGTCCGACTCGTTAAAGAAACAATCTTCGTCCAGTACGAGGTGAGTAATTGCTGTCCTTATATCCAGAAGCTCTTTTCGGTCATAAGAGATGGTGGCAGAAACATTATGTGTAAAATAAGTTAGAAATAACGCAAAAAAAACACACACAATAGTGCAATTGGTTAGGAGGCCGTAAAACGGCAGCCATCTCCTCTGGCGCCATTGATATACACTACCGTTCAAAAGTTTGGGGTCACTTAGAAATTTCCTTGTTTTTGAAAGAAAAGCAATTTTTTTGTCCATTAAAATAACATCGTGATCAGAAATAGATCAGAAATACAGTGTAGACTGTTAATGTTGTAAATGGCTATTGTAGCTGGAAACGGCTGATTGGCGTACAGAGGCCCATTATCAGCAACCATCAGTCCTGTGTTCCAATGGCACGTTGTGTTTGCTAATCCAAGTTTATCATTTTAAAAGGCTAATTGATCATTAGAAAACCCTTTTGCAATTATGTTAGCACAGCTGAAAACTGTTGTGCTGAGTAAAGAAGCAATAAAACTGGCCTTCTTGAGACTAGTTGAGTAACTGGAGCATCAGCAATTGTGGGTTCGATTACAGAATAAAAATGGCCAGAAACAAATAACTTTCTTCTGAAACTCGTCAGTCTATTCTTGTTCTGCAAAATGAAGGCTATTCCATGCGAGAAAATGCCAAGAAACTGAATATCTCGTACAATGCTGTGTACTACTCCTTTCACAGAACAGCGCAAACTGTCTCTAACCAGAATAGAAAGAGGAGTGGGAGGCCCCAATGCACAACTGAGCAAGAGGACAAATACATTAGTGTCTAGTTTGAGAAACAGACACCTCACAGGCAGCTTAATTAAATAGTACCCACAAAACACCAGTCTCAACGTCAACAGTGAAGAGGCGACTCCGGGATGCTGACCTTCTAGGCAGAGTTGCAAAGAAAAAGCCATATCTCAGACTGGCCAATAAAAAGAAAAGATTAAGATGGGCAAAATAACACAGACACTGGACAGAGGAAGATTGGAAAAAAGTGTTATGGACAGACAAATCGAATCACAAAGAAGAAGCACATTTGTGAGACCCAGACCAAATGAAAAGATGCTGGAGGAGTGCTTGATGCCATCTGTCAAGCATGGTGGAGGCAATGTGATGGTCTGGGGGTGCTTTTGGTGGTGGTAAAGTGGGAGATTTGTACAGGGTAAAAGGGATCTTGAAGAAGGAAGGCTATCACTCCATTTTGCAATGCCATGCCATACCCTGTGGACGGCGCTTGATTGGAGCCAATTTCCTCCTACAACAAGACAATGACCCAAAGCACAGCTCCAAACTATGCAATAACTATTTAGGGAAGAAGCAGTCAGCTGGTATTCTGTCTATAATGGAGTGGCCAGCACAGTCACCAGATCTCAACCCCATTGAGCTGTTGTGGAAGCAGCTTGACCGTATGGTACGTAACTTTTGAACGGTAGTGTATATGAGTAGAATTGCATGATATTTGTTATAAAATGCAAAATCTTCTCTCAGCCCTATGGCAAAATATGTATAATTGCAACAAACTTGCTTTAAAACTAAAAAATGTGGTCTCCGCCGTCAAGAGGAAGGCCACTAAAATGTTTTGCCCGAAAATGTATCTTAGGGCCCCCAAAAGGCTAGGGCCGGACGCTTTGATCATTTACACCTACAGTAAATGTACCTAAGGAAGTATAGTTCAACTTCATTAGATTACACTTTCTGAAAGAAGCAATCTGCGCTTGCTGCATACATTTTGCGACTTTTAATGATAAATAGGCTGCCCATTGATTCTTGAAGAATATAACTTATAAATGCCTCATGAGCTCATGAGCAACTGTTATACACCATCAACATATAAGCTTGTTTTACTCCAATGTTTGTAAACAAATGAAATGTAACAAACACTATATAGCCTCAAAACATGGCTAAAATGTAAATGTTGACATCATGGATGGTCACTCCTTGCATCCATAGCTCTGTCTATGAATTTGAGAGTGGTTACATTTCTCTAGCACCATCCCTCAGCTTTTTACCAGGGGGGAGTTGCTTTGTTATTGTTTCAACTGCTGATTGCCACTTTAAAGGGGGTTCAGACAGTGCTTGAATGGCATTTTCCATAATGGGCATGATTCAAGAACAGAAGGAAAATATTTTATCATATTTTTTTCATCATTGACTTTTTAAACTATTCAGAATGCTAAGGAAATGCTACCTGTCCATCAAGAAACATTCTGTCATTCTATGACACCTAGCCAAAGGTTGATGATATCAATGTGTATAGGTTCTTGTACTACGTTTTCTCACAGTGTGGGTGGGCTACCACAGTGACTGAATATTCATGTTGTGTTGTACAAAAACCCTCAACATCATTTCTATATTCAGAACCTTAAAAGTCAACAAGGCACCTGACACTACTGGACAAACAAATTGCACTACAGTTTTGGTAAGTAGTTAGTTCATTATATCTTTGCTAACATGGCAATATATCCAGTTATTTGTTCAGGTTGGTCTTAGCCTTAGTTTTACAACTTTGATTATGAAAGTGTGAAAATATTTTTTTAAAGCTGAAACATGTCCTTGATTGCCATCTTGACTCTGCAATTAGTCCCAAACTGTATTTGGAAGTGACATAGCACTGTAATTATACAAACCAGATGTAAGAGGTTTTTGTACTGACATGTTCCACAGTGCAGATAAATTGACATTTGGAAAAGCCATCAATCTCATTGTTCAACCCAGTAAGTAAATTCTCAATATGCAATAATTAACATTTTATTACTGAGTATTTAGGAAATGTGTTAAAATCTAAAATATCTAGGGGCGAAAGTTTGTTAATTTGAGAAAAGTAGCCGATGTTACAAATGTTTTGGGAGAAAGCCTTATATTGTAGACGAGATTTGCAAACAGGCTGTGAATGTGCAACAAAAGCTTTAGTTTTGGACCAAGCTCTCAGTTATCACACTATATTTTTTTGAATATTTCAAATGATTTATAACATTGCTGTACTATTTATTGCTGTCTCATACCAGGTCTCATATAAAATAGATTTATCTCAATGAGCCTAAGCTGGATAGATAATGGTAATAATAATGATATAATCATTCAGTATTTCAGTATATGAACCACCTAAATCTACCACACCAAAGGGTTTTATCTTACAGAAAATACAGAATGTTTAAAGTTACAAGTTGATTTGTGATGTGGGGCCAGTTCTCATTTTCTTTGTTTGATCATTTAAGTTATCTGTTAATAAATCAACTTTCTATATTATATGAGGTGATTTCCGATGCCCTAATTTTTACTGAAATACTTAAAGTAAACTGTCCATCAGATCATACAGAATATTTTTTAAATCTGGATATTAAAATAAATATTAGTTAGACTATCATTGGACTATTTAGATCAGGGATGGGCAACTGGCGGCCCCCCTTTTGAAGGCTCCAGGATCAATCCCCCCCCCCCCACCCAAAAAAAGTTAGAATAGTAGAATACACAAGGTGCAATTTCAAAATTTGGTTGTGCATCAGCAGTTTTTCTCTTGTTATGTCAGTCACTGATAGTCACTCAATTAGCCCATGTCAGCTAAAAATTTTTTGATTGCTAAATTAGTTTAGGTGGCCAGCTATCTAAACTTTTTATCATTGTTGAGTCACTGGCCGGGGGGCCCTTATTGATTTTGTTAGTCAGTCTCACATAGATATCAATCATATTAAAACTGTAAACATTTCTCTACACCATATGGTAAATGTGTAGATTTGCAAAAAATCTGCTGTAAAACAGCTCATTTTCCGCTTTCACCCCATGGCAAAATGAATAGAATAGCATGAAATGTGTTATAAAATTGCTAAATCTTCTCTCCACCCCATGGCAAAATGTGTAGAATTGCAGCAAACTTGCTTTAAAACTGCAATTATTTATCTACATCCCATGGCAAAATGCGTTGAATTGCACAAACTGTACTCTAAAACTTGGAAAATGTAACTTTGCTGTCAAGAGGGTGGGCCACAAAATTGTTTTGCTTGCAATGTGGGTGGGTGGGGATGTGGGTACACAGACCCCCGAGCAACTGCGGCCCCATTATGATGAGTTCTGATTTTTTGTGTTCCCCATCAAAGTTGCCCATCCCTGATTTAGGTCATATATTTGTACCTGTTTTTAAAATATATTGTATGACATCACATTTTATTTATGTTTCTGCATTCTAACCAAGATGTCCAAGTCAACCTAAACCTATTGTATTTTCCAGATGGAACTCGTGCCCACCCAATACTGTCCATCCTCACCCCACTGGGCGAGAGCAGTGGTGATGACCCCAAGGTCTGCCTGGCTACAGGCTTCTTTCCCAGGGAGGAAAACATGAAGCTGACCCTGGGGAATAATAAAAGTGTCGACCACAGCACAAGCAATGCAGCTTTATCTTCCAGACGTACCTACTACTATGCCGGATTCTCCAAAGAGAATATCAAGCATTGTGTGATGGAAGGCATTACCAAGGCGCACGATGAGGATAAAGATGATTTTACAGGTGTGTCTTACTGTAAAAATCTATATACAATAATATCTCACATTATTACTGTGGCTTTGAACAATTCATTAAATAAGAATATTTATCAATGAACATCTCAATCATTGAGAATGGTAAAGATGGATGTAAATGGCATGATGAGAAATAACTTTTAATAATCACTTATTGGCTTTCAGATAATACCACGGCTACAACTGCTTCTGTCATTTGTAAAGATGAACCCCTCAACAATGCTACTGCTACCAACCATACCGGTTGGTGATACTTTGCTACACTTCCTAAAAACATGGTGTAAAGTCAATTGTACTGCCGCACATTTACTGTAAAATGCACAAATGTTAAAATTTCAGCAAAAAAAGTGTGCAAAACACTGAAATGACACAACATTGTTTCTTACAGATTATACCAAGATGAACTTCACAGCCGTGGTTGTGTATGGTTTGAGAGTGCTGTTTGCCAAAGCCGTGGCATTTAATGTGCTATTTACTGTCAAGGCCCTGGTGTTCTAGGTAAGTGAAATTAACTCTGTTTTTTTTTGACAGATTGTTGACATAAATTGATTAACTGACAGCTGTAAAGGAAAAATACAATATATAATAATTTCCTTGATTGCATTACAGAATAATTTACAATTATTCTATTTACAGACATATTTTCACTTGGACTCCTACTTTTCAGTTCTGCTTTGCTTCCAGTTTGTCAAACCTGCCTTGTGGTTTTATCAAGAGCTTTGTTGTACAACAATATTAGTATGTGACTTTGTTCAGGGTTGAATGCTGCAATTCCTCTGTACACATTTAGGAAATACTAGATACTAGATACACATGTAATGCATGTGATTGTTTGGGATTGAACGTTAGATTACATTTTATATTCTATTTCATTTTATATTATGTTTTATTATTTACATTTGCTTGTATTATATCTTTAACTGCAAGTTGTCATCAAAAGTGTATAAAGACTCCAGAAATGATTTCAAACAATAATGTAAATGTACATTGATCAAGTTATTTACGTGAATACTTTGCAGTTGTTTCTAAATGCACAAAACCTGTCAATAGAGAATTTAAACCACATTTTCACCAGTACATTGAAACCGTATGAACAGTCAAACCAAATTAACAGATTAAGATCTATAAGACACCTTGATTTCCAAGAAATGGCTCCATCAGTTACTTTATTTGCATGCATGCTCAAGTAGTAACAATAGCGAGAAACACACATAATAGTGAGAAACACATGCCTTATAATTGTTGATGAATTGTATTATGAAAATAATTTGCAATTACATGTGCATCTGATATCAGTCAAACATTTTATAATCGTATATGGGAGCTGTAAATGTATTGAAATTAACAGACACTGCTTTTTTATTCTAAACTAAACCATAATGAATGTGAAAAGATGGATGTCTATCAAATGACTAAAATGGTTGGAAAGTAGTAGTCAGACTCCGGTTTACCAGAAACATTTGCTTAGGACTCATCATTAGGCCTACAGATTTAGTAGAGATGTGCACATTTAAAATTCTGAGATTATGTTGCCCCCTGCTGGTTGTACATTTATCTTTCTCCGTTGACGTTGTGATCACTAAATCACCTGGGCCCAGTTTTTCAAAAGTTATATATCTGTATTTTGCTTATTGGATAGGATTAAATGCATATAAATAGAATGACTGGAATGGGAATCCCCATGCAAGTCAATGATTTGTATGTTCTATTCATTCTATTTCTATGCACTTCATCTTATCCAATAGGCGAAATCCAGATAGATAACTTTTGAAAAACTGGACCCTGAGTATTGCTTCACTGCATGAATCTGCATTGATTCTTCACGTCCTCCCTCCTCATCTCCTTCTGGTTCCTTCTCTTCCAAGGCATTTTGAGAAGAAGGCATAGAAAGATTATGTGAGGAATCAAGGAAATACAATTAAGATTCACACACTGTCTTCAGTTATCTAGTCACTTACATGCTTGGCTCCACAACCAAATCTTCAATTGCCAAAATATCATGCAGTATTGGGTTTTCAGTTGTGTATCTTCTATATGATCAATTGAACCACCGTAATACATTTTGCTTGTGAATTTGCAGCTTTTTGGTGTTCAAGTGTTTTATTAAATGAATAAATCAATTATATTTGTGCATGTTATTCACCAGGAAATTACTTTGGTACATTTAGGTGGAGATGCACATGTAGTACACATCTAGGGGCCCTATGAGCCCTGGTCAAAAGTACTGTACTATATAGGGAATAGGGTTCCATTTGGGACGCAACCTGATCTTTTCTCCAATCACATAACTATGGTGTTGAAAATCGAAACCTTGCCTAGGTCTACCTGATCTCTTTCAAAACTATGAGACTGGCACACAAGACTAAGGTCTACCTAATGTAGGCCACAGGTGAGGCTTTGAATTTGTGGTCTCTTCTGTGGAGCAATGTAGGCCAATAGGTCAAAAGTATGTACATTATATATCTGATATCCTGATCATTTCCTGCAAGACAAAGATGTATGATAAAGAGAAGTATAAATGAGTCCTGAATGGAAGAACAGGTCTGTATTCAGCAAAGAGCACACGAAGACTAAACAAGGTACTTTACTTAATTACAGTTATCCAAAGATCATAGAGCAAATATTATACATTAATTTGAAACACAGTTTAGTGGTGCTGTGGCTATGTATGTATGTAAGGCAATGTAAAACAATCATATAATGGTGAGTTGGTAACACTAACTGTATTTGTTTGAGAGTTTGCAGTGTGAGAGCTTTTCCTCAGCCAAGGACTTCATTTCTCAAAGGGACAGAAGAGCTACAGTCATGTAAGTGCATCAAGAGATTTATGTAGTGATGTAGAGTTCTTGCAGGTGGAAGATATGAAAATCTCTGAGTGGATATTTACATTATATCATACTTGCACGTGCACATTGCAAGATATAAGACTATAAATGATGCATTGAAAAAAATTATGCATTGTGAAGTAATGTACAGTATGTTATGAACCCCATTATTATTGCTCTGACTATCTGAAGTTTTGAAGTTTTTGTTTTTCTAGTTCTTGTATGTGACTAAAATACTGACAGATTGCTTGGTATATCTTGAATAATGTCTTTGACTTGACCCTAAAACACTTTTGTTGACCCTGTAGTGAAGAAGAGGATTTGTGTACAGGAGTGTAGCACTGTGGTTGGCTGGCTCTAACAACAAGCTGATTTTTGGATCTGGAGTGAATGTCATTGTGCAATCCCGTGAGTATTACCCATTGTTTTCAATATTGTGTAATTTCTCAGCTATGTGTTACAACAGTGTAGAATAGAGCTCTCTCTGAAATTCATTTTACAATGTTATTGGGAATAAACTGTTCATGCATTAAAATCCGCTCTTCTGCTTAATACTTACTAGTTAAACATCTTCAGTTTTAATTTCATACCATATTTAGATTTTTCTTATCCGTGAGATTTTTTCTAAGCTGATTTGGAAATGGTCCATTGTCAGTACAGAGTAATTGTCATGGTCTCTATCTCAGTGTGAATGCTCAGGGGGCAAGAAATATCATTTTTGGGAATGGAATCAAAATGATTGTGGGGACACGTAAGTTTAATATTTTTTGCTTAAATGCTATCAAATGCATTCCTAACAAACCAAATTATTTGAAATTCTCAAAAATGTAAATTAGAGTAGCTAAATATAATCCTAAAAAGTCAACAAAACTGTGTGTGTGCATACGTTTTTCATATTCTTTTTTAAAATATATTTTTCCATTGGGTAAAATGAACTTAATAGTGAAATTGAGTTAAAATAGTGACAAGAAATATCTAGTCAGGAAGTCAAGGCAAATCAGGTTTTAGTGAGCAATAATACACTGTGACAACAACATGTGAAAACATGTATTTTGCACGTGGGACTCAACTGTTTGTAGAGAAAGGTGAGATTTTTTAAGATCACTGGGACACTTTTTTTTAAACAACTACCTTAATTAAATACATAGTGAGATACACAAATCAGGTAACAGTAGCCTAAACTAACTACAGTGTTGGCTTTGTGTGGATAAAGGGCAGAACATCTATTCAAATAACAACCTCAACTTGGTTTGTTGAGGGATTTCAAGATATATCTGAGAATTAGTTAAAAATGCATCGTCTCGTCTGAAGTCTAACAGTATTATATAGGTGCACAACAAACTGCTGTAATTGTACTGCAGTTTAACACTGTGTGAATACTGGATCAACAGGAAAAGTAGTATTTGGTAGTGGAACCAAACTGTTCATAAATACTGGTAAGTGATGTATCCATTATCATCATTTAAACGTATTTTAATATTTTTAGCATTGATTTTATACTGAATCAGTTTGGACAGGTTCATGGTATTTTCATGGTTTTCCATGTATATAAGCATGTGAGAAAGGAAAAGAGGCTTTCATATGGTGTTGCTCAGAGGTTTGCGTGAAGTTCTACATAGAAATAAGGACAGATATTAAGGTTTCATCATGGCATTATGAAATAAGTATGTGTGTTGTAACTTCATTTGTCTTAGATGATAAAAGTATGCCAATTGATACAGTGGAATGTAGCAAAATGCATTATAATATGAGTTCATATTTAAACATCTTCAGTTTTCATTTCAATTCATATTTAGCATTTTGTTATCTATGAAAAGCTGATTTGGAAATCGTATATTTTTAGTGCAGAGTAATTGTCATGGTCTGTAGCTCAGTGTGAATGCCCAGGCGGGAGGAAAGCTTATTTTTGGGAGTGGAACAAAAATGATTGTGGGGACACGTAAGTTTGATTTATTTCTTGCTTAAATACTGAATGAAATGTATTCTCAATAGTAGAAAATATGGTATTATTTGGATTTAACCCAAAAACCTAGTTAGAGTTAATGTATTCTTAAAAAGGTAACAAAACGTTCTGTGTTCGTACAATGTTTCTTTATTTTTAGATGTTTTTCCATTGGGTAACCAAAACCTAATAGTTAAAATGTACTTATAATAGTGACATAAAATGTCTAATCATGAAGTCAGGGCAAATAAGGTTTTTAGTGAGCAATAATACACTCTGTGACAAAAACAAGTGACAAAATAACTTTTGCACGTGGGACTGAACTGTTTGTAGAGAAAGTTGAGATTATTTCAAGTATACCATCACTTGTTTTTTTTTAAACAACTACCGTAGATAAATACATAGTGAGATACACAAATCAGGTAACAGTAGCCTAAACTAACTACAGTGTTGGCTTTGTGTGGATAAAGGGCAGAACATCTATTCAAATAACAACCTCAACTTGGTTTGTTGAGTGATTTCAAGATATATCTGAGAATGAGTTAAAAATGCATCGTCTCGTCTGAAGTCTTACAGTATTATATAGGTGCACAACAAACTGCTGTAATTGTACTGCAGTTTAACACTGTGTGAATACTGGGGCAGCAGGAAAAGTAGTATTTGGTAGTGGAACCAAACTGTTCATAAATACTGGTAAGTGATGTATCCATCATCATAATTGGAACTTATTTCTATATTTTCAGTACTGATTTTACACCGAAACAGTTTGGACAGGTTCAGATTGTAATTTTCTACTGTTTTCTGCTGAGATGAGGTTACCTATGCATTGGGAGTTTATATACTGGTGTGTCAGGCTGTGTGAATGATGCCGGTACAAAGATCATTTTTGGGAGAGGCACAAGGCTACTAGTACTAAGCGGTAAGTACAGTTTGCTTCAGAAAGAAGGTCAAAGTGCCTTTTTGAGTAATAGAATGCAGTCTTAATTCAGTATTTTCATGGTTTTCCATGTATATAAGCATGTGAGAAAGGAAAATAGGCTTTCATATGGTGTTGCTCAGAGGTTTGTGTGAAGTTCTACATATAAATAAGGACAGATATTAAGGTTTCATCATGGCATTATGAAATAAGTATGCGTGTTGTAACTTCATGATGATTGTAGGCTTACATGATAAAAGTATGCCAAATTGATACAGAGGAATGTAGCAAAATGCATGATAATATTACTTAATATGTAAACATCTTCAGTTTTCATTTCAATCCATATTTAGAAGTTCGTTATCTTTGAAAAGCTAATTTGGAAATGGTCAATTTTTTGTACAGAGTAATTGTCATGGTCTGTAGCTCAGTGTGAATGCCCAGGGGGGAGTAAAGCTTATTTTTGGGAGTGGAACAAAACTGATTGTGGGGACACGTAAGTTTAATCTATTTATTGCTCAAATACTGAATGAAATTCATTCCTAACAGTAGAAAAGATGGTATGATTTTCCCCCCAAAACCCAGTAAGAGTTCATGTATTCTTAAAAAGTTAACAAAACTTTTGTGCGTTGGTACAATGTATTTTTTTGTGTGATGTTTTTCCATTGGGTAACTTGAACTTAAAGGGCAATTCCATCACTTTTCAACCTCATATTCATTATCTCCAGCACCATACCAGTGTCTACATATGTGAAAACGGCGCATTTCAATGATCTGTGGTTGAAAAGATAAGAAGAAAGGGTAGAATTGAAAGTAACTAACTGTGATTTTCAAAATCTGTAACAACTTTTTAGCCAGAGGGAGGGTATTTTCTTGCTCCTCACATCACCTTGAATCTCAAAGTGTTTGGAAATCATTGTTTTTAAAATATTTTAACTTTTGATGATGTCAT